TAGAAATACGGGAACAAAGTATTAAAAATTTAGTTCTCAGACTAAAAAATACTGGCTTCGGTATTATTGAGATTTTACGAGGAATATCGTACAATTCAAGTTTTTAGGAGTTTCTTTATTAACATTTACATTAATTATTAACACTAAATTGTATGAATTTTTAAAATTTTAATTTTAAAACAAATGATAAATTAATAAATTTTATAATTCGTATTGTTTTTGTTTTTTAATAATTTCGAACATACTATATTTCGAGTGTATAATCTTTCGAACTCTTGACGTTCGAACTTACAGCATTCGAACATATAATTTTCGAACACAAAACCCCGTTCTTGCCAAGTGCGTAGCACAATGGTTTTTTCCGAAAAAATCATTGGTGCGAAAAAACCGAGCGAATCGTAAAACCGGGTAATCAGTAACAGAATGCCGTGTTTAGTGAAGACGGCTGGGATATCGAGGGCCGGTTCACAGCTAAAATAGTAATTAACCGTGCCCTAAAGGAGACCAAGGACCTTAATGTCCCCGCTGGTATTTATGGCGAAGGTCACCGATTTCGTCACCCAAAATCCACATGGAACGGTTTGCAACATGGCGTCAGTATTACTCACTCATTTCCGTAACTCGAGTCTGGCGCTGGCGAGAGCACAGTTAAGCTTAGCTTGTGCAGCAAGTGCCTCGTTTACGGTATCGGCTCAGAAACAATTGTCATCAAAGTGTGTCTGATGACGAAGGGTATGCTGAGCGTGTGACTGATTCACTCAGTCAACATCCGCAATCTCCTGCATAACTCGTAATGCCAGGAATGGCACACAGTTGATTCCGTACGTTACGGTGTTAAGCTCCAGTTATAGGGGCGGTCAACTTGGACCAACGAAGCCCAATTGCTTTGCGGAGACAATCGTAATGCGCTGACGTGGAGTTGATTAATGTACACGCAGGCTGGAATCTTCCAGCTCGGTCTCGTACGTGGACTAATGCCGTACCTAGCAAAACCAATAGTGAACCGTACCCAGACAAAGGCGATGTCGACGTGGCTGGAGGTGTCGAATTTGAGGACGGGACGATGTCATAGACCTGGGTGTAGTAGTTTGTGGCGTAAGTGTGAACTCACTGAGCATTTCTTATGTTCTTTGCAACGATTGGCCCAATTGCTGTCACTAAAGCAGGGAAAACATATTTGTTGAGTGCGTGGCCACTTGGTATATTCTCCGATCGTCAATACACTTAATTTCCGATACACATCAAGAGCGTATAGATTTTTACAATATTTGCTCACTGTAGATGTGGCCTAGTACTAGCAAAACCAATAGTGAACCGTACTCAGACAAAGGCGATGTCGACGTGGCTGGAGGTGTCGAATAAGAAGAACGGGACGATGTCATAGATCTGGGTGTAGTAGTTTGTGGTGTAAGTGTGAACTGATTGAGCATTTCTTAGGTTCTTTGCAACGATTGGCCCAATTGCTGTCACTAAAGCAGGGAAAACATAATTGTTGAGTGCGTGGCCACTTGGTATATTCTC